GGCTCTGAGCCTTCGGGGCGCCCTTGGGGGATTTGCAGTTTCCTTGGCGCCCCCCGGCGGGCCGGGCCGAGAGTTCGAGCCCCCCCGTGTCAGGCGGCCCCGCCCCCCAGGGCCTGGCCTTAGTCCGGGAGCAAACCAGCTGGCCTGGCGGGACAGCAGGGAGCCGGGGCTGCGAACAGATTTCAGCGGGGTGGCCCGCGGGCCGGAGTCTGATCTCAGCCCGACTTGCACCCGCCTCCGCCCCAGCGCTCAGCGTTAGCACGAGCCTGGATTCTCCTCGCATCCGTAGCGGTGTGAATCAGAAAGGCCTTGCCCTGATGTAAAACTGGTGCGCGTCAGAACCAGGCCCGCTTCACTCCCGGTGGGAATAAACAGTTACAGTACAAAACTGAGAGGAAATCCTGGGGTTTTGTGACTCAGTTTCCCCACCTGTAAAATGGAGATCATGCCTAGCTCAGGGATCTGTGTGGGTCTTATTTAGTGTATGTAAACGTGCTTTGACATATTCAGCAGGTTCTAATGTAGTGCAAAGTATTTGTTGTGCTGTATCTACCAATACTGAGCACTTCCCAGCAATTGTCATTGACTGCTGAGAATAGGTGAGGACATACAGAGCCCATTTCTCACCACTGGGGGGGCCTGTCTCTATCATCAGTAGCTGTGCAAAAAAAACACACACCTTAAAAGACAACGAACAGTCCCACAGCACCTTAGAGACTAACAAAAGCATGTAGCTAGTGTCACAAGCTTTTGTGGCCACAACCCACTTTTTCAGATGCAGACATTAGAAATGGCTTTTATCTGTCTCTTTTGTCCATAAAAGAAGCTAAATACTGAATTGATTCATGGCTAAGATGTTATTGGCCATCAGCCACTAGAAGCTGACAACTAATTTTTCCTCCTTTTGGGATAGAAATAAGCTTTCCAGATTTAAGTACAAATCAAAGCATCTGTCCAATACATAGGGCCCTACCAAATTCACAGCCATGAAAACTGTCTCAGATTGTGAAATCTGGTTTCCCATAGTGAAATCTGGTCTCTGTGTGCTTTTAACTGGTACTGTGCAGATTTCATGGGAGGATACCAGCATTTCTCAGATTGGAGGTCCTGACCCAAAAGGGCATTCCGGGGGGTTGCAAGATTAGGAAGTTACAACATTGCCACCCTTCCTTCTGTGCTACCCTCAGAACTGCTGCCAGAGAGTGGTTGGTGTTGGGCGGGTGCCCTGCCAGCAGCAGCAGCAGAGAACAAAGTCTAGCAATACCATAGCCTACTACCCGTATTACTGCACTGCTGCCTTGAGAGCAGTAGCTGCTGACTGAGGGCTAAGCTCTGCAGGCAGCAGCACAGAATTAAGGGTGCCAATATTATACTGTGCCATCCTATCTTCTGCATTGTTGGTAGTGATGGCTCTGCATTGTATGGCTGGGCCCCCAACTGCCACTCTCCAGCTACTCAGCTCTGAAGGCAGCACCACCGCCAGCAGCAGTGCAAAAATAAGGGTAGCTGTACTGAAATTATTGGGGGTCAGCACCCCTACAGTTACACCCCCATGACATTTCATATTGAAATAGAAATTGCAAATTTCATTACTTCAGCTAAAATCCTTTATGATCATGAAATTGACCAAAATGCACTATGAATTTAGTAGGGCCCTACCAGTGCATGGAGAGGGTATCTCTGATTTACTGGTTGTGCAAGGTTTGAAGTTTGCACAGGGAGAAGAGGTACAAGCTTATTGGCTAGTCCACACACTAGTCGACTAGTCACTCCCACCACCCCTCCCTTCCTTCCCCTGCTGCCTTTATCAGAAAGAGGCAGCAAGGAGGGGGGAGCAGGGAATTCAGCTCCGTGGGGGGGGGAAGGGGAGGGCAGGGGCACAGCTGCGGCATTCCACCTTTGAAATGTATGAGTCCCCACTGTGGCTCTTGTACATTTCAAAGCAGAAGTGCCACATGAAGCCTGGGGCCAGCGCATGATGGGCTTTTGCTACACTTCAAAGCAGAAGCGCCCTTATCGACTAGTCGATAGAAATCCTATCAACTATTCAATTAGTTGATTAATTTTAACATCCCTAGAGAGGAGGGACCCTCCTTCAATTTGAGGGAGGCAGCAAGAGTTTGAAAAAGTATATTGTTCCAGTGGCCTGAATTCCCCAAGAAACTAAGGGAATCATGAGACTCAGTGAGCAAAGATATTTTCAGGTTTTTCTGTGTTTAGTGAATAAAACGGGCAGTAAAAGGGAGATGACGACGTTTCCTGCTCCTGACTGTCCGCTAAATGGTATTGAGCATCATGGTGTCCTATAAATGTTGTTTATATGTGAGACTGCAGAACACGTGCAGGCTGCAGGCAGGTTTGAGGCCATTCCTTAGGGTACCTGAGACCCAGATATGAGACCTAAGCAGCAGTGATTGTGTGTGGAAGGAAGAGCAAAGCTATCCTGGGTTTCAGGTTTCCAGGAGGCTTTCTGGTGGCAGGATGCACTGAGGGCTGGGTTGCTGATGAGCTTAGACATTACCTCCACTGTATTGTGACAGAGACATTGATGGCAGAATAAATACAGGTTTCAGCTCCTAGAAAGCAAGGCCATCAGCTGTACAACAAAGCCAGATACACCAGTCTAGTGAGTACAATCTCAACTGGGTGTCAGAGTAGGCAAGAAAACTACAGGGCTTTGGTTCTCAGCAAGATAAAATTACAGGGTACAAGTGTGGCATGGCTAAATAAAGCTGCAGCACTCAACATCACCTCCTTCACAGATCTAATCTAGGTAGGCAAACTGGGAGCTATGACTTCTGTTTTTCTGCTTCTTACGGTTTCTGTTCCATTCACCAGTCTGCGCCTGGCCTGTCTTGTGATAGACCTGTCTGGAGGAACAGACAATTCTGTTTGCAGCAACTTCTGAGGTTCTGAAATTTTGGTTTTGTTTCACGATGGAATGAAAACCAACGTTTTGAATAATTTTGCAGAACAGATTTGTGCATAATGTCTGGCTACGTCTAATTTGCATCCCTTTTATCGCAGTTGCTAATGAAGCAGGAATTTAAATCTCCCCTGCTTCATTAGCATAAAAATGGCTGCCGCATTTTTTCGGCACGGAGCATTGCTGGAAAAAAGCGCCAGTCTAGATGCGGATCTTTCAGAAAATAAAGCCTTTTCTGAAAGATCCCTTATCCCTCTTAAAATGAGGGATAAGGGATCTTTTGGAAAAGGCTTTATTTTCCAAAAGATCCACGTCTAGACTGGCGCTTTTTTCCGGCAAAGCTCTGTGCCAAAAAAATGCGGCAGCCATTTTTATGCTAATGAAGCGGGGGAGATTTAAATTCCTGCTTCATTAGCAATTGCAATACGTCTAATTTGCATCCCTTTTCCGAAAAAGGGATTCAGTCTAGACATAGCCTCTGAGTTTAGATTGGAAAGCTCAGGTTTTCAATTCACATCTCTCTCTGCTCCAAAGGGTATGTCTACACTGCATGGCTATTTTGGGATATCAGAGGTATCCCGAAATAGCTGCGCCGCATCTACATGAGGCGCCTGTTATTTTTGAAATAAATAATGGATGTGCTCTTTTGCCATCCTGGTAAACCTTGTTGCCTGATGGATAGGGGGAGGGATAGCTCAGTGGTTTGAGCATTGGCCTGCTAAACCCAGGGTTGTGAATCCAATCCTTGTGGAGGCTGTTTAGGGATTTGGGGCAAAAATTTGTCAGGGGTGGTACTTGGTCCTGCTGTGAAGGCAGGGGTCTGGACTCCATGACCTTTCAAGGTCCCTTCCACTTCTAGGAGATAGGGATGGCTCAAAATAGCACATTATTTCAACATTTGGTGCAGTGTAGATGCACCAAACTTCTATTTGAAATAGTTTATTTCAATTTGAAGTAAAACATGCAATTTGTATAGTGCAAATTGTGTATCTTTTATTTTGAGTTTAGAGTGCTGTGTAGACACATCTAAAGTGACTAGGGAACCCCAGACCTCAAAAAATCATTGTCAAAATCAGACTATGCCTGCAGAATCTTATGGCTTCAACAGAATAAATCTAAATAGGAAGCGAGTTCTCTCAGGCAGGCATATCTTGTCTGTACAGTTCCTAGCACAGAGGGAACTTTAATCTAGGAACCTCAGTCTAGGATCTAATACCTTTAATATCAAGCTTTGTGGCACCAGACAAGGATGTGCCCTTGGTCTCATGGTACAGGTTGTGTAGCATGTGATCACAGTTAGCATGTGGTCTGGTAGGTTTTAGGGATGTAATAATATAGTCAATTAATCGATAAGCAAAAGCGTATAGGTTAATGCTATAGATTACATGCATTTTCCCTCTTATCAGTAAATTTTTTTGCAGGCTGGCCAGCAGCCCAGCTCAGTCCCTGTTTGCACTGGGGCCAGGACCTACCCCCTCTGCGGCTCTGCATTTAAAGTGTATTAGGAGCCAGGCAGGCAGGCAGCCTGGCTCAGTTCCGGCTTGCGCCAGGTCCGGGAGCTCAGACTCCACTCTTTCGAACAGGGGCTACTGCCACCCTGTGCTGCTGCCTCTGTATCATCCCATGCTGCTACCCAGAGACACAGCAGCACAGAGTGGCAAGGGGCTCCTGGGGAGTGGGGCCAGAGTGCACTGGCTGCCAGCCCCACCCCCAGGGACTATAGACTAGTCGACTAACCAATAAGAATTCACGAGAGTAATCAACCATTCAATGAACCGATATTTAACATTCCTAGTAGGTTTGGGTACATTTGTGCCTGTGTATATTTTATGATCAAGTGTGGGGCTTTGTTTCTAACGGAACAAAACTTTGTAAATCCCTAATACAGAGTGTTTTAAATTCACTGAAAATAGTTCCAGGTTTTTGTGGAATGTAGTATTCCATTGTAGTACTTATTACTCTGGCTTCACCGTGCTGTGTTAGTAAAACAGTAGTTTGCTCTCAGAGCCTATTCTGAGTGAGGGACAGAGTGACAAACAGCTTTAATGTGAAGAAAAGAATTACATTTCTAAGAGAGTTGGCATGTCCCGCTCTACAGCTCACTGGGCTGGGATACAACGGATCAGCCTTATGTCATGTCACCGTTGACAGGGGGTAATGATGCTGCTTCACATATGTGAAGCAGTGAGATTTGTGGATGGGAAAGTGCTGAATAAATATGAGGTGGGTTTTTTTATTAAGTTATTAGGAACACGGAACAAAGGGGTATTTAACCTGACACTGTCCCTTATAATAAACTCCAGGCATTGTGTTCTGCCACACTCTGCCTCTTGTCTAGGCTGCCATGAGCAATAGCCTTTTGTTTGTTTCAGGTTATAGCTGGTGACACGGCCTCCTTGTTATGATGCCATCACGTACTAATTTAACTGCTGGGATCCCCAGTAGCAAAGTGAAGTATTCCAAGCTCTCCAGCACAGATGATGGTTATATTGACCTGCAGGTAACAGAGGAAAACAGAGGAAATCCTCCTCTTCTTTTTTTCCTTATGTAACAATATCCAGCAGCTTTGTGACCTCCATAAATGGGGTGGGGACGAGTTTCTTCTCTGGCTCTGTGTGCTGCTCTGGTTAGGGGCCTGACTAGCCTGCAACAAGTCAAAGAAGAAACTCCCTTGGGTTGTCCCACTACGGTATGCCCCACCTGAGCATCAGCAGAGGGAGTACAGTTACAGTGCATGCTGCTAGGATCCTTCAGGCTCATGATGCAAGCCATGGGGAAGCTGTCACAACTTTGCACAGCCATGAGGGCTGCTTGTGCCCAGGGTGCAGCCTAGAATCCCACCCCTTTGGCTTGCACTTCCTGTGCTTTGCCTCCCGGTGACCCAGCATGGCATCTGTGCTGGGATGGAATGGCCCCAGGGATAGGGCTCTGGGCTGGAACTCCGCTCCTGGCTCTTTAATAAGGTTAGCTCAAGATCTGTTCCTTCTGGGGACAAGAAGATCCCTTTGTGGCATGGCAGATCTGAAGGGAACAGACACTGATGCTGCCAAGTCTGAGCTACAGCCCAATCTGGGAAGAAGGGGGTGTGCATCCTAGCTGTGAAAGAACAAGGGGTTATATGGGCAGAACTCTGAGTTGATGGGCACGGAGGAGCTTGCTGCTTTCACAATCCCCGCTGCTAGGGCAAACACCTGTGGCCGCTTCCCTGCTTGGGCCACATGCCACCAGCCTCTGGGTTTGAAGTTCAGACCCATGCCAAAGGCAGGAGGGTGTGCTCGGTTCTATCACCGTGTAATATCTGCCTTCTCTGCAGTTCAAGAGGAGCCCACCCAAAATCCCCTACAAGGCAATTGCACTGGCCACTGTGCTGTTCGTGATCGGCACCCTCCTGATTGTCATAGGAGCCCTTCTCCTCACAGGATATATTAGCAAAGGAGTAAGTGGCTTGAATGTCTTTGTTTTAAATGGTTTTTGTTTGGAGCCTTAAAAAAAATCACCTGCCATGAACTTTGATTTGCCTTCAGTATGAACCTTCCCCTCCAAGAGCCTGGAGACAGAAGGGGGAGCTTTTCGTTTGCCAGCAGCCCTGCTTCCTTGGCTGCCATCCCCCCTGCCTTCTCTAGCTGAGTGAGCTGGGGCTGGTCTGTGTGTGGATAAGGAAAAAAGACGAGCCGCCAGCTCCCACGAGTCAGGACTGAGCTGATCCTGCTGCTAGGAGCACTGGGTTTGCGGCCTTTCAAAGGATATGCCAAGCTAAAGTCCTGATCCCTGCTCAGTATTAAAAATCTCATGGCCCTTCTGCCAGCGTGTTCCGGCCAAACTGCAGTACTCAAAATCATAAGAGTTTTGCCTGCCCATCAGGGCATTTAAGCTGCAGTCAAGGTCATAAAAGTATGAACATTTGTACCTGACTCCTCACCCCCCCTTGGATACAGTATTCTCCTTCTATTCTCAGGTTTTATGTCTTGTAAGCAGCAGCCATTACTGAAGCAACCACTTCAGAGATGGGTGAATTGATTTCTCTATAGATAGGAATGCAGGATTTGACCCTTATTAGAGCCCTGCAAGTCCACAATTATCCGTTTTATGTCCGGGAGTATTCACATCTGTGCATGTGCACATGGATATCCGTGCTCACTTTTGCGGATTCAGATTTTGTATCCATGCAGGGTTCTAACCCTTATTTAGGTGCAACTCCAATTCGGGGAGCAGACAATTTTACCATAAGAAAGTTTGCAGGCCTTAGACAGTATTTGGTAACTACTTTTAAAGCACCCCAGAGTTTGTTTGCAAACTGCAGAAGAAGCTGTATAAACCCATTGAGAAATAATTCCTCTCCTGTCTGCCTTGTCAAGTAAAAGCATTCGTCTGATCAGAGCTTCTCTGGTATAGAGTAATTTTAAATCCAACCTGGCTTGCGGGAGTGGCCCTTCATGGATAGTCGGGCTTGGGCCAGTGGTCAGGTATCTGCAGTGGGGAAAATCGGGAGTGAGGTATTCTCTCTGGAGAGTCTCAGAGCTTGGAGTGGGCTGGATACGCTGGCTGAGAGGAAGAAGCTGTCTCTACCAGCTGGATGGAAAGCTCTGGCTGGACTTAGCTACAGTGAGGGGCAGAAGCAAATTCTTAAAGAGGACTTAAGAGTCCGGGAGGGACATAGTAGACTGCTGAGTCTGGAGAAGAAGACAGAGCGATTCCATGTTTGTATTGGTATTAGTTTATTGTGTTAATAAATCAGACTCCAGATGGTTCACATAGGTCAAAGCACTTCTTCTGGTGGCTTGCTTGTCAGGGCAAGGAGGGAAACTGAGACAGGGTCTGGGTGTGAGAAAGCAAAGGCTTTGTAACAGGAGCTTGTCTCAGCTGATAAGTATTTATTAATTTCTTATGTCTCTCTGCTTCTTTCCTCCAGGGAACAGACCGAGCTATTCCCGTATTGATCATTGGAATCCTGGTGTTCTTACCAGGCTTTTATCACTTGCGCATCGCATACTATGCTTCCAAAGGCTATAGGGGATACTCCTATGATGACATTCCAGATTTTGATGACTAAACGCACCCTAGAACAAGGGAGCATGGCTCACATTATAATGAGTTTTGCGTTAAGAGATGTTAGTTAATTTGACTTTGGATAGCAAAGATAAAACATGTAAGAACCTAAACTAATTAGATGTGTTGATGGATGCAACTTCCTAGTGCTGTAAATATTGGGTTATGGCCAGCTTTATTTTTCTTTTTTGGCATTAACATAAATTCGACAGACACCATTGCAACATTAGGTGATGCGCAGCATATGACTTGCTGTTAGAAGAAACTTTTTATTTCTGTAAAGGGAAGTTCTTGGGTAAGCCAAGATGAGCAGTTGCCCAACCAACCATTCACAATTTCAGCACAAAAATTACGATTTTTGTTTAGTCTTATTTCTAATAGATTGTGTATTTTAGGACATTTTATCTTTTAAATAGATCAAAGCTATAAGTAGGACCTTTCTACTGCTGTATAATTGTCAAAATAATTCCAATGTCGTCGTTCATCGGAGTTTTGCATCTGGAATGTTGACCTATCCTCCAGTCTGCTTGTGAAGGGGAGAGAACTGGATATGCGTGTGATGATTTACTGAGCATTTGCCATGTGCAACAACTTCTCCTGTAGGATGGATGAGCCAACTTACCTGGCAAACACATTCCTCAAGTGCCAGCTACATCCCATCCAACTATTAATTTTGCTAACACTAGTTGGCGGTCCATTCATAAGGCTGACTTAGGATTCTGCTTAATTAAGGATTTTAAACAGATTTTGTGGAGAGGCAGGATGAAGAATTGGAATCTGGGCCCTGGACTTGAATTTCCCTGTCTTAAAATTCTATTTTTGAAAGCTGGTGAAGTTGAGGGAAGTTCCGACCCCCAATTTGCTGTGTGGGCCTATTTTGGTGATATGTGTATTTGACGTCACTTTGCTGTAGATCTAGACCTTGTGCTGTACATAATACCCTCCACATACCTGAAGAAAATCTATGCATGTGCAGTACTGCACATGTTATCAGCTTGAATTGCTCTGTTAGCTGCATGTTACATTATGCCAGAGTTTCGGAAGAAATTTGAGGATAACTGGTAGATTCCATCTGCTGTCAGTAAGAGCTAAATGGCTTCTGAAGTGTAATTGCCAAGGAGCAAGTTTGGAACAAGAAATGATCATGTAAAATTCAAACATTTAATATGAATAAACTGCATGATGGTCTCTGTATGATTTATAAACACTTCTCTTTTAAACCCAAATGCATGTCTGCAATGCAAATGGTTCCCAAGCTTGGTGGAAGTAGCTCAGCCTAGTACCTTTTTTGAGCCTTCATCAGGATCTGCTATTGCCTGCTGCCTCCTTTTCCGTGACTCATGCTGTTGTGTGTGACAGTGGTAAGCAATTTGCTAAGATGGGGTTTTGAGCAGCTTCTTTGTTAACAGCTTATGTGCAGCAAACTGAACGCCCAGCATTGAGTGCCAGGGCTCTCAGCAAGGCGAGGGAGCCTAGGTTCAACACACCATGCAGGCCCGAATGCAGGAATTGCGGGGGGGGGGGGGGGGTATTTTTGTAAATGAAGACTGCACCCTTTGCACACAGACACACCCACCCCTGAGTTCGGGACTGCACAATTAATATCAGCCCCTGTTCTACCGGTTCCTGATAAAAGCCTTCCGCTTTATAGCTACCAACATTCGTGTCCAGACTGTACACCACCTACCAAACTGCAATCAAATAGTTAAACCACATGTTATTCAGCTGTGGTCCATGGACTACAGGGAAGGCAGGTGGGTGTCCTGTGGGTATCAAGCTAGTTACATGATGCCAGCTAGAAAAGGGAACTGAAGGACAGCTACTCATGCTTCTAATACTGTTACTTTCCTCGGTGAAGTGTGACTAGCCTGGCCGTGGGAATGTTATGTGACAACGAATGAGAAAGGTCATGGAAGGACACTGTCCCAAAACCACAAGCTTATTTGATTTACCCATCTCAGAGGGGCAAGGGGCCTATACAGTCCCTGAAGGGGCTCTCGGTCAGGCCTAGGCTAAGGAGACAGGGTACAGCAGGATTCCCAGCTCCGGCAATGCCTATGTCATTCAGGAGCACAGCTGTGACACACAAGGGAGCTTCGAGCCCTTCTGTGCTGACAGGCAGGAGCCAGGGGCGGGTGAGAGTTTTGTGGGGCCCAGGGCCTGTTGAAGTGCAGGGCCCGGGGCAGCACAGTTTCACGCATGCGTCACGGCCGCAGCCGCCAGGTAGTAATGCGTGCGCGGGGCCCGGGGCAGCTGCCCCACTCGCCCTGCCCTATATCCACCGCTGGCAGGAGCAATACCACAGCCAGGCCCAGGCCTAGGCAGGGTCTTCCTACACTTCAGCTTCTCCCCTCCCCTGCCCATTAGGGCCATTTCAGCTGCCCCCTTCTAGCCCTGTACTGGGCTCTGCATGTTGTCCCATGCAGACCTGGCCAGATGCTTCAGGGTAAAGTGCTTGATGATCACGGCCCGCAGCAGCTGCCACACCCCTGTGGCAAGGCGCCGCACTAAGAGCTGGGGGAAGGAGAACCCAAGTGGGAACTTCAGCGGGAGCATCCCACGAGGAGCCCTGGGCTTGAGCTGCAGGTGCCGTGGAGACAGCTGCCGTGGGAGCACTGAGGGGTGGCGAATGCTGCACTCCCCGGGGCCAGGAAGTGGAAGCACTTCCTAGAAAGCCAAGTCCAGACCCCTACCCTGTCTCCTCCCCTCAAGGGCAGCCCCACAGCCTGCTTGGCTCAGAGCCCCGGGCTCCCTTGCAGCAGGCAGCCCCTGCCCTTCCCTGCTGGGCTGCATTAGGCCTGGGAGGCTGCAGGCTGCGAGATGGCTTGGCTGGAGACTGGGGGCTGGAAGGGATGGCTGGTCCCTCACAATTACTTGGGAGACCAGGGGATGCATTCGCACTCCCTTCCCCGCGTACAGGCCTGCCATGTATTGTAGCAGTTCCTGGAGTCCCTGAGTGAGAAGCCAACTCTTACATGCTTAGGGTCAGGAGGGCCTCTAGTCTCTCCTGCTGCTTCTCATCTGTTTCCTTATGTTAGGTTTACAGCTCATAAATGCAGCTGGAACCGCTTCACATAGTGAGCAAGGAGTGGGTGAGGCAGGGCCTAGACCCTGAATCGGGGAGTTCACTGAAGCCAAAGG